ATCCTGTACTTTCAATACAACCTCACAAGATGCTTGTTGATATCACTGTTCTACTTCATCAAGCCTCTAGATAGTGTCTATGATGTGCCTGCCAGATACAGAGCCTCTGCATTCTCCCTCTTCAATGCTGCTTTCAGTCACTAAGTCCATTTTTCATTGTTTTTTTCGCTCTATACTGCTACATCCACCACCATGCCACCTGTCTGTCCTATGTGTGGCACCCAGCCAATATCTATGGGACTTGGATACCACTTTGTTAGCCCCAAGAAGGCTCGAGATGCCAAAAAAACACAGATGCTCATACACATTCCTGGCGTTAACTCCAGACACCAGCACCTTCGTGAACAAATGGCTGCTCTAATGCAGCCACAAGTACTAACTACTGATACACTCAAATTTAGTTCTGCGCCTGCTCAATTTGAAGCACCCATGATCATTGATGACTCTGCTAGTTATTCTTACAATGAGGACAACTCCATAACAATGACTATCAGCCCAACCAAGAAGTACCTTTCCCAAAAAATGTGGTGCACAAGGACCTGGGACACTGTATCTTACCAGATAAGATGGCAAACAATCTCTATACTTCCTGGAAGATGCTTATACCCACCTTGGTAGATGTGCACCTCAAGTACTCAGCCAGAACCCATGGGCACCCTCTTCCAGAAATATGTCCAGTCATATCTGCTTGCGCAAGCCCTGGTTGTGCACAGTGATGATTCTCTATAGTCTGCCTCTTTTTTGACCATAAACAGTTCATTTATTGTGCCCAGCCCCAGCTGACAACTCCAGGTTTCCTCTATGTCAATGTACTGGTGTGCAAATGTTCAATGCTCTCACAAGTCCTTGTACACCATGGCCTTTTTCCTGTGAAGGTGGAGACATCCACATTGCAACTGACAGTAACTTCCATTGTCATCAATGATCTGCAGGCGACTGCCCATGCTTCTATGAACCTTCATATTTTCTTCCCAAGACTGAGGTTGATGAAGTTGGACAGCACATTCTCACACAGTGTAAATGTGCACCCAAGATTCACATCTCTCATTCTGGACAAAGCCATCAATCAATGCAACACTCATATGAAGCCACAGATGGCAAGAAGCAGAAGGCTGCCATGGATTCCTTTGATGATAGGTGTCATGGATCTTATCTGCTGTCATGATATCCACTCTTCTTTGCCAACATTGATTCACCTGGTGAGCAGCAGAAATATGCCATATCGCTCATTAGGCACCTATTTTCCCTGTTACCTCAGGATGCTACCATTGTCATGCTCTATGACATTGGCTGTGTTCTCTCACACTCATTATCTCAAGTAAGTGCTTCTTTCATAGACAAGATCTCAACCTAATGTGTATGTAGTATGATATTCTCCTGAGTCTGTGACTTCACATCTTTGGTTTGCAATGACAGCCATGCATGCATATGGACATGAATGGGCCTGTCAGCTGGAATATAACCCTCAGATGTGCAGTGGCTTTGGTTTGTCTGATGACAAGGGTACCAAGAGACTGTGTCAAGGTTTGTTAAGCTGATTGGAATTCAACAGTCATCATCAGTAAGTGGCTGGCAGCTTGATGATAATTCTTCATTAATAGTAGTGCATATACAGCGCCAGAGGCGTCTCTGGTTGATAGATCAACAGGCCAGCACCATCAGACTGGAGATGTGAATAGACCTGGGTGAATGGATTAAACAGTGGCTCAAACATGGTGTTAATGCTCAGGGTACTGCAGTGAAAGAAGTCCTGAATAATTGTGGTATCAAACTGAAGACCTTGAGGATCAGTGGGTGGATCAGAAGAAATCACAACTCTCCATTCGTGCCCATAAGTCCATGTGAGCCACACAAAGATACAACTGACATCACATATCGCCATCTATAGATGCTCCTGCATGACTGAAGAAGGAGCTTGACATTGTACTTTCTCTACAAGCTGATCTAGATGCTTCTGATAGGGCCTTGCAAGGCACATGCACTGTGGTAGAGAATGGCACAGTTACCAAGGAGACACTGGATGCTCTGGAGAGCCTCGAGCGCAGCCATGACCGTTTGATGAATAAGGTTGAAGTATTATATGCCTCACTTAACATCCATGACAGGTTTCCAGAGTTGCAAGGTGTTGATTTAATTTTTGTTCAAACTCTCCTCATGGCTCATGACCTTAAGATAAACATCTGCAAGTGAGCCATAGGCAGCTTTTTTGAGTGGGATAAAATCAACTGTGCAGTCGGTGGTGCAAATCAGGCCCTCAGTAATATTTGATGCTTCTATCTTGCCATATTGGAATTTTGACTTATTCTTACAGGTACAAAGCTCCATCAACAGACATGAAAAGCCATTGCAAAGCGTCAGCCAGCTTTGATGACCATGATCTGCAAATTTAATTCATACTGTGAATGTCTTGAGAGCCTCTATGACCCATCTTGGGGTGTCCTGCTCCCCGCTCCCCTTCCTACCAAACTCGCTGACCTTTGAAATGATCAGACATTGATGGAGGATGTTTGGATCACCCCATCTGTAGGGGATGTCCCCTGTTAGATGGAAGATGCTGACATACAAGATGGAATATGAGCATTACTGAAATGAGACCGATGCTGTGAGGAACAGCACCGCCTTGGCCATGAAGCAGATAACCTCTGTTGATGGTTTGGAAATGAGCTGGCTGTGCTGGAGCTTGCCCTACACTCTCCTGCAAGTAAGTAATATTATGTATATTGATAATCACTACTAATCTTGGAAGACCACATATTGATATTCCCACTGCAGCAATGGCAGTGTCATGTCCTCCAGTTGCAGACTAAGTAGATCACCTCACTAGCATCCTCTATCTGCTTTGCTAGCAATGCTACAGCAGTGGTCAATCTCACAATCGCTCTTTCTGGAGGCAAGGTGGCATTGCCAGATGCCCCTTCAGAGCATGATGCTGATGAACCTACATTTGAAGAAGCAGCTGAAGACTTGGAAGCAGCACTCTTGGATCTTTTGCAAGATGGCAATGTTGCTGATGATAATGACAATGACAATGACAATGACAACAAAGATACATCATCTGTGGGAGATCCTGAAGTTGTGATTTGCTGGGAGTTGCCAGAGGTACCTTCTTATGTCTTGTATGGGTGGCACCCATATTCATCAGATCCTACAGGGTCTTCACACAGATGGTTACAAGGTCTCTCGCCTGGAAGACAACATCATTGTACCAGCATCAGGGAATCCCCTGACCAGGGTGCGACCAGCACAGGATGGCTTCTCTGTCAAGTCTTTGAGTTATGGGAGATGTCATTACTAGCACAACCCACAGCCCTGCCTTAATGACGGATGCATCAATGGCTGTGCTGCATTGCTGTATTCCGAGATACTGACCCACTCACATATATGGCCTTGTGCTATTCTCTCCATGCACGATCTCCCTCGCATCTGATACAATGCATCTGATGAAATACTATGGCAGAATATGTTGTGGATATTATATTGGGAGAAAGATATCTGGATAATACCCATTCATCACTCCTCTCCTGTTGGACATTTGGTATTCTGTGCAGTCTACATTTCAAGCAAAGAACTCCACCTCTTTGACAGTCTTGCTGACAGACAGCCATGGAAAAATGATGTGAAGGTCAGCATCAAATTGAGTCATGCTATGTTAAGCTCATGATGGTCATAGGACATCATGAAACTCATTGCCTGCTTATCATCTATTGCCCACGCACACTGTGGCTCTGACCTTATTGATATCAAAGGTTGGGTAGCTTGTCCACTGACAGTACAGCCTCTGCAAATGAATGGTTATGACTGTGGCCTCTGGGTCTTGGCAGCAATCGCAGCAGTGTTACGGGGAGCTCATTGTCCGGGCATGCACAAGGAGGACATGGTAGCATTTAGACACTATATACACACACTTGTAGTAAGAATCCCTGCTCCATGATATGCAATTAAGACAGTCTACAATCCTCCCAAAGATGTTCAAAGATGGCATTGAGTACAGTGCACAATGAGCACTGAATAAGATGTAGACATCAATACCAACTTTTGACAGCGAGATACAATGAATACCTACTACTTGAATCATGACAAGTGGTCCTACATACATAGTGAGATCAGTGGAATAGTTTGGTTGATGGAAGGTAACTCACTGCCACCAGGGAAAGGGAATGGTATACTGCCATGAATGTGGATCTGACATTTGCCAGTATTTTGACTGTGATAAGTGACGTGATGAACTAATCCACTGACGAACCTGTAGTTTGCACTCAAATACTCTATACAGTGGCTCAAAAAACTGTCCGCATGTTTTGACATTTTTCACTATCTATGATATTGTATGAGAACAAACAAATGTGTCAAGGACATGCTTATACCACATTGTAGTATGGCTTCAGGGCTTTCGTTTGAGCCCTACACCGTGGGAATCGGTGGAGATATGGTGGAGATACAAGGCTCACAAAATGGTGACTCATGTGGACAGTTTTTTGACTCAAGTATTTTACAATAATAACCAGGTATTCTAGTATTTTGTATGACCTCCCTTGGCTTTAATTACTGCCTCTATCCTTCTAGGCATACTCTCAATTAATTTCTGGCAATCCTCAGCTGTGATCTTCCCCCATTCCACTGCTACTCTCTCCCAAAGCTCTCATACTCCTTTAGGGGGGTTTTTATAGGCTTGAAGCTTTTTCTTGAGTGTTCCCCAGAGATGTTCAATGACATTGACATCAGGAGACTGTGCTGGCCAGTCAAGAACATTGATGTTATGTTCTTCAAACCATTCCTTAGCTCTTCTGGATGTGTGCTTGGGATCATTATCCTGTTGGAAAATGATATCTTCTTCATCAATCCCTGATTCTGCCAAGCTAGGCAGCAAGTGGTCATTTAAAATGTCCACATACTGCTCAGCATTCATCTTCCCCTCAACCTCAGCAAGCATTCCCACACCATTCCATCCCACACAGCCCCATACCATTAAAGAACCTCCTCCAAACTTGACAGTCCCATTAACCTCTCTGTCTGTTAGGCCATCTCCCTTCTTTTTCCATACATATACCTTCCCATCTGACCCAATCCTATTGATTTTGGTCTCATCTGACCATATAACATGCTTCCAGTCCTCTACAGTCCAGTGTTAATGAGCTAAGGCAAAGGCTAGTCTTCTCTGCCTATGTTTGATGGAGAGAAGAGGCTTTTTCTTCTTTGTTACTGCCTTGAGATGAGCTGCCTTGAGAACATTCCTTACAGTTTGTGAAGAGACAGGGGTAGTGATGGTGGAATTGATATAATGGGTGGCTTGGACAGCATTATCAGCCTTTCCTGTAGTGATATGTTGGATAATAGCCCTTTTGTCAGTAGAGGTAAGCTTGGATGGACGTCCTCCACAAGAGTTTTCCTTGTCTGGGTGGCTTTCTTTGATAAACTTGGCCACAGTGGACTTGCATACTCCAGTTCTAGAGGAAATTTGGCAAGCAGAGAGGCCAGCATAAGACAGAGAGAGGATATTATCTCTTTGAGCAGAGGAGATGGCTTTCATGGTGATTATGACTATGATACATGAGATATTCTGGTTTATATAGTTAGATATAGTCATAAAATAACATAATGACACCACTTCATAATTTATATAATAGTAGCATGATTTTTGTGGTGTCATAAATAATGATTTATATAGTTTTAATATACACTCAAACAACTGTCCACATGAGTCATCATTTTATAAGCC